GAAAATGTTCCCTATCCAATTACAACTCAAATATTTCAAATTCAGCCCCCAGCTATGCATGGTACTTACTTAAGGGCGTATGAAAGTTTCTGCAAGAAAATTACTAACTCGGCAATCAGATGAACTGGAAGGCTGGAATCTTAGACGGATATTCCCCGCCAACGTGCAATTTAAAAATTTCAAATTCAGCTTTCCAAGCACGTGGAATACCCAAGTACGGGTATGTGAAGGTTTTGGCTGGAAAATTGTCAACTCGGTAACCAGAAAAGCTGGAAAGCTAAAACTTTGAGGGAATGTTCTCTGTCGAAGTGCAACTTAAGTATTTCAAATTCAGCCTAGAGGTATGTGTGGTCCTTACGTACGGGCACTTAAAAGTTTTGACGAAAAAATTTCTCACTGAGCAACTAGGTTACTTTTAAAGAACGACTGTTAAATGGAAATTGTACATTTACTTTGCAAAATTTATGGTCATTTATGCTAGTGACCGCAGAAGGTAGGTGTAAAGCAACAGCCATTCATGCAGTTAATGAACTGTGTAATTCAAGTCCTGTGCAAAAACGCATGATCGCACGGGCCCGCCCGGTGCCTGGGTTTTGTTGTCGATTTGTGCAGGACGGTCAGCGATCGATGACCGGGACATACTGCTTTCTTTGCTTTTGGACGATTGAAAGTTGTGTTGTGTTTTCGTCATTGGCGTTGATGCATGTTCGTGTTGTATGTGCTGCATAAAGGTTTAATAATTCAAACTTGAGGTTCGGTTATCGGAATTGGCGGCGCCGGCTGGAGAACGATCGGAGTCAACTCGAAATTTGGCGGACCTGTTGTGACCTGTAACCACTGTATTGGTACTGGTCAATTTTTTGATGCTATCAATAAGCCCTGAATTGCATTTCGACTGTGAGAAGGAACCGACAGAAGAGGAACGAAGACGCGAGTTTACATTTCAGGAACCCAAACGCAAAAATTCGGACTTCTTCCCATTTATCTTATTCGGGGCTAACTATCCCAAAGTGAAATTTGGAGTCCCAACTGAACAAAAGCAGCCTGCAATCTGCGCAACACTCGCACCTTCACCTTCTCCGAAATCCCTCCAAAAATTGTACACCACCCACGATTGTCTTGCCAATCCACAAACGGGTGCGTATTGCCCAGCCGAGCCGGGTTTTACTAGCTGTTGTTCTGTGCGTTTTGGCGGATGTGGGTGTTGCGTTGGCTCAGTCTGTTGAAGGATGTGGTGTTGACGTAGTGGGGTTGAGCTGCAGTTTCGCTGATGGGCACACCAACCAAGGGGTGTTAAAGGCGTACGGGATTATTTTTAAGCAATGGGAAAACAGTGGGCTCTGATTTCGAACCATTTTCAAGGATGTGAAGGCGCTCGCCTGTTTGCTAGCAAACATTTGTTCCCTGGGCTGGAGGCCGAAGTCCGTAGGGAGGGGTTCCTGACGAGGCCTGCATTAGTTCCCGTCGACCCATCAGAAATCGAATTTTTGACTTTCGCGCTTTTGCAGTGCTCTTGTTTGCAACAGCCCCTTAAGGCAACCCTGATTATCAGGGATCACTTTCTGTTCAAGATGTCCACTCATCCAAGTTATTTTTTTGCGGGAAAAGTACTATCTTGCAAGAAATAACTGCTCCATCCGAACTCAAATTTGAGCCTCAATTGCTCGAATAAGCGGAATTTTTGCTTGCTGCGAAACAAGGCCGGGCTTTTTCATGAGCTCATTGTTTCAGGGCTTGAAAGTCGAAATGAGTGCTCAGGAACATCCGACCAAAATCACACTGCCACCAGCAATTCGTGTTTCGCCACTCATTCGGCTCATGCGTTATTCGTTTCTCGGTTTGTTGCTGCAAAACTTTTGGGCCATAGGGTAGAAAGCCATAGGTAAAACTTTACATAATAAATGGTTATAGTGTATTTTGGCATTTCTCTTCTTTTCTACCCCTTGTGTGACACTTTTTTGTACTTTTTTTGCAGCTATGCAATGCAAAAAACGCATATTGACGAGGGGATGTCTGTGTGTGTGTGTGTCTGTGTCTGTCTGTCTGTGTGTTCGTCCGTCACGGTTTTTCATCTCAAGACCTACAAAAGCTACAGGACTGAAACTTTGGGAACTTAATCTACACGGACGCACGGGCCCAAGTCCTCAAAATGGGCGCTCTTACCCGCGTGGTACCCACGTACGGGCCCCTGCAAGTTTTTTTGCGGGTAAGTCGCTAACTCGGGAACCACAAAAGCTAAAAAGCTGAAATTTTAAGGGGATGTTCCCCGTCCACGTAAGTCTCAGTGAGCTTAAACCCAGACACCGGGTGTACGTGGTACCCATGTACGGGTCCGCCAAATTTTTTCGGGCAAGCCGCTAACTTGAGAATTTGAAAACCTAGAAGACTGTAATTTTAAGAGGATATTTCCCGTCCACTTAAGTCTCAATGAGCTCAAACCCAGCCCTCGGGTATGCGTGGTACTGACGTGCGGGCCCGCTAAAGTTTTTTTTGGTAAGTTGCTAACTTGGGGAACTGAAAAGTTAGAAGGCTGTAATTTTAAGGGAACGTTTCTTGTCCACGTAAGTCTTAGTGAGCTCAAACCTAGCCTCCGGGTATAAGTCGTTCCCACGTATGGGCCTGTGGAAGTTTTTTTCGTGTAAGTTGCTAACTCGGGAACCTGAGAAACTAGAAGACTGAAATTTTGAAGGGATGTTTCCTGACAGTCCTGGCGGCCAGTCTGAAATCCTTTTAGCTAGAAGCATCTGCCGGAAAATCCATTGCCGTTAGCGACAAAAATTTGCGGGAAGCTATGCAAAAAACGCGTCTTTGCACGGGCAGTCCGCGCGTTGGCCAATTATTCTTCACTGTAAAGTGGGATTTGCTGTTGTGAGTATGAAGCCACAATGACCTACTTTTCTGGTTGCATGTTGGCTTGATCAGCAATAATAACAATCGTTATTTACGCAGTCCTTTAATCCCAGCCGAGGCTAGGAACGCACGGAACATAACACAAAGTGGATCAACTGGCGGCCGCTCTTTTGCGATGCACAATACCGCAGTGCAGCGAGCCTCGCGATGACGATCCCGACAACGGAGGCGCTTCTGTGGCTGTTGGCGAATCGATCTTGCAGTTGTCGGTGAAATATATCCGAGCCTAGCAACTAGATCCATGATTTATAGGGGTAGTTTTGTTGATGGGTGCCAATCCGCTGCTCTGCCGCGCATCGTCAGTCAGAACTTATGGATATACTGCCTTATGGTATGACCGGTACTAGAATTTTGATGGTGGATGCATGAGCATGTTTCGATGTCAGTCCAGAGAGCAGACTTGGGAGTTGGGCGAGCCCGAGGCCACAGAGGGTAAGCAGAGGGGTAAAGGTAGTGAAAAAGCAACCTACGTTTCAATAGTACTCACATTCACTATGTTGCCATGGGCTGTGTTGCGTAGTTTCTGATGCTGTATGGAGATTACTTTTTAACTCTGAGTTTTTCCTCCCCAGTACTTTAACTGTTTACAGTACTCTTACAATACTTTTTAGCTCTGTTTGATACTTTAACTCTGTGAGACATAAAAAATCTAGTAAAAACATCAGTCATTTGCTGATGGGCGGTGAGTGCGCAGTGCATTGTTGGACACAAGAATATCAAAATCATACCTGTAAGAAAGATCTAGTTGGACAGTCCAGAAATCCAGCCATCAGGACACAGAATTTTGCTCGATAGGATGCAAGAGTTTTGCGCTAAAATCTGAACTAAAAGCATAAGTTAAAATAGACCAATATTTACAGTTTTGGTCGGGGGGAATGAATAGAACACAGGGAAGGAAGTAATGAAAAGACTTCATCGCCAGTGTTTTTGTTCTACCCCAGTTTGGGTTATCAGTACAGCTAAATCTTTTCAGAGAAAAAACAGAGATTTCAGGATTGGGTGCTGTATGGGGATTTTTTCGATACAGGATGATCTGCGAGAAGCATGCCATTGTGCGGCAACAAGAACATGAGAAGAAACTGGCTGAAGAAGAGCAGCAGCGTATTCTCCGCAAACAACAGGCAGACAGAAGCTTATATGACATCTACTTGGTTTGTTTTATTGCTTACGATTTGTTTCTGTTTTTTGAGTTGGGGAGGAAATTGGGAAGCCATGTGATAGTACCGGTACTCACAGCCTTTCCCTGAAACCGTGAACTTATGGACTGAAGTCGCTGCTTTATCCGAGCCTCATCACTTCTTATTGTTGCTATGCTCATTTCCGGCATATGTGAACCTCAAATTTGATACCTTTCGACGAAATTGTCTCTTTTCCCACTGTTGCCTCATCGTATTTCCGAATCATTTTACTACTTTTTAGCGTGGTTTCTCCTAAATCATTAAGGAAATGAGGCCGATGTTGAATTACGGCTCCTCTTGTCATTTTCTTGTTTTTATTTTCCCACGTAGGCGTTTTCTCGAGCTTTTTAAAAGCCAGTAAGTGCAGATGCGTTTGAAATTTTTGATTTCAGACGTTCATGCTAGTGTGCCTTAATCTATAGCTCTAAAAACAATTTTGTCGATCTTTTTATCGCTGAGTAGAAAGTCGCTGTCCGAATATCCGTATTTCATATATTTTCGGGTGGTTTATGTTTGATCTGACTGTTTCGCAGATTCGTCACACTTCCCGTATAATTTCCTGATTTGACGTAGCATCACGCCAAGCGTCACTTTCTGCCATGTAGATTCTGCATTTTTGTAAATTCAAATTTCTCTTCCCTCGAAAAAAGTGAGTGCTAGCAAGAACTATTTTTGGTACGGTATAGCGCGTCGGTAAGGTTTTCATAAAAATTTTGACTGATGGGCTGAAAATTCTCTGCCATTAGATTGCCTTTTCTTTCATTTTTGTAGTTTTCCAGTGTATTTTTTCCAGTGCTTATTCTGTGCTGAATTATTTTTCAATTTTCAGAATATTCTGGAAACTGATATTGATGAAGGCGGATCGCTTTTCGGGAGCGTAAGGGAATGAAGGAAGTGAATGCTCAGCTTTAGCTTGGTCTTATAATGTAGCTGATTTGCTAACTTATGCGAGTTGATGTTCTGTTATAGGAGTCCATGATGTGGCGACTTCTGGCTTATTTTCCAATGATGTTGCCATGTCCGTGTGTTATTTTCGCATTTGTATAAAATATTAAGCTAGGAATGTCAGCCATAGCAACAACAGCTGGAAACGAAATACAGCCAAGTTGGGCAGTGCACGAGGAAGCGGTTCTTAGTGAATATTACCTCCGCATTTTGCTTGTATGCATTTTTTCAGATGGCAAAAGACCAACGACTTTTTCTGCATCGGTTGTGCGGTGATTTCGAATTCCAGGCGTCCTTTGAAGGGGCATAGTCTGTGCACGTGAAAGAATTGGGGGTTGTTGCGAAATCCGAATTTTTGCAAAGAGTTGAGTTCCACAGAAAGATTTAGTCATCAGGGAACAATGAATTGTTTTGTGTGTAGCATATATACATATATTTGAGGATCGTGGAGTGTCTTTGTTCAGACAAAGTGGGACAAAATGAAGCATTCTGATAGAACAGAACAGTAAGGGAGAGCCAGTTTCGAAGGGGAATGTCATGGTCCGTCTGCCTATCTCAGAGTTTCTAAGCCTTGAAGATCATTTCAGCGAAGCGGTTATAATTTCTCATTTTTTTCAGTTTCACAAAGGAATTATGCAGCATTGATGTATGGTTGATCCGGCCAGTATTCCTGTCATTCAGTGCTAGCGTTTTCTGGAATAGTGCTTCCCTCAAAATTTGATTCGACTAGCTGGTGACGTAGAAGTGCCACAGGGCAAAAACTGTTGAAAAGGTGGAAGGTGCATACCCTGACACTTCCATGTATACCCGGGATGTGAGATTTTTCCCTGTAGTCCGGAACAGTGAAGATAATCGTTAGCCTAAAGGACGTATAAAAACGCAGTCGAACTGATGTAGCTTTGCAGCAAGAGGAAGAAGAGCAGATGTGTAAGTAAGAAAAACGCTTTGGAAAATCACATTCAGTAAAGTTATAAAAATTCGGATTTAGTTTGCATTTGGTTGACTTCGGGCCAACGGCAAGAGAACAAGTTGCTGCTAAGAATGATGAATAAAATGATGTCGTTTTGGAACGGACTTGACTTCTTATAGGCGCTGAAAAATGTGAGTTGTTGTGGAAAAATAAACTCACGCTCTCGAGACCTTACGAGAGTCCGTGTCGTTTGCGCGACAGTTGAAAGGCAAAATTCAGCAAGGCGGAGAGGATAATTCAGCAAGGATAATAGCCCATTCTTTTGAAAAGAAGGGTCATGAGGCTTGTCGAATTTGAGTCTGTCAGCGAAAAATCGCTTCGGTTTCGTTTTATTATTTTTATTAGCAAACGGAATGAATAATGCCAAAACAAAAACAATGTAAAAATTTGCCTTTTCATGGAACAAATTGGTTTTCAATTACTAACTGAACACCCGTCTTATTTGTCCAACAAATTAGGCACATGCTGGCACAGTAACTCAGTTATTTACTGAGCAAATGGATTTTGAAACGGCCCATCTCATACGAATTATGAGCTATCAGCTTCAGCATCTTTCTAGCAAGCAGCAGCAGCGCATCCAGTAACTGCGTTATGGGCGTTTCAGAGTTCATTATTTCTCTGCGGAGCCGGAAATGCTTACAGTCGGATGTGAGTGCTGGTCAGCGAAGGGAAATCAGCCCGCACTCTGTGGGCAGTATTAGCTTGGACAATGCTTTGAGCACTTGCATGTTCTCCATCAGTATAAGTGTGGCAAAATGATCCTCAATTGGCTCGCAATGTCAAAGTGTTTTCCGATCTTTTCAGAATCGTAAACTGGCCCTCAACTTGTTCGCAATTGCAAAGTAGCCCCAGGCCGTTTCAATTTTAGTGGGACTTCAGTAGCACACCGCGATGGCAGAAATACATCACGTCTCAAATACTGAAGTTAATGTGTTTTACAATCAGGGACGGAGTTTCATTCAACCAGTTTAAACAACAGTGCGGTGGAGATTCATGCCAAATGGGACAATGCTTCAAAACACAAATTTTCCATGAAGTGCTTTTGGTACTTTTTTCCACACACTTACCCGAATAATTTTCTTAGGTTAGACCGGTGATGATTTCGAGGCTTTGGAAGTGAGGGGATTCGAGTAAAATTGTTTCCAACCTTTCAGGAAAGGCAGTTCACCAAAAAGTGCTGTTAATGTAGAGCAGTTCCTCTTTGTAAACATCTTGGAGTATGTTAAATTTCACCGTTTTTGGAACATCTTTTTTGCTTTTCAACACTGATTTAATTTTCGGTTCTCTGTCAAAATTTTTTATATCGCACCTATTCGACTAACTTTAGTCTAATTTAACTCCTCAGTTCATTTGTAATTTTCATTTTAACACGCCTAAAGGTAAAAAAGCATCCCGATGCTCATGCCATAGAAAACATTCAGGTTACAGAGTTCCTTCTCCCTATGATCTTCTAAATGCATAACACACTACATCACCCTTCCGGTACTGACAAAAATCAGTTGCAGTTGTGTAAGCTCTATAGAATAGGTCACCACTGCTACAAAGTACATTGTATTGCCCTCCCAGCTGCGTCTCTGCTGCCTTTTGAATTTGTCGCGCCATATCCATTGGACTTGACGCCTCGTCCTGAAATGAACTCGGGATTCAGTAGACTGGCTATTTTTTTCTGCATAAGCTTTCAATAAAATAAAGGCAAAAGTAACAGGAAGCGCGTAAAGCAGTAAGCGGTTATGATAAGTCACTGGCGACACGCACAGGGCGAGTCCGTGCGATGATGCGTTTTTGTAGTATTTCGCGCTGTTGTAAGGCAGCTTTGAACCCCAGTAAGTAGAATTTGTAGCATACTGGTCCTAGAACTTCAGGAAATTAATTGTGGAACTGAATGATACTTGGTCAGGGAACACCCATTCGAAATTTCAGCTTCCTGTCTTTTCTGGTCCTCGGGTTAGCAAGCTTCTCGTCAAAAATTTCCGCAGGGCCGTATGTGAGAACCGCAAATAACTCGGGGGTGAATTTGAAAGCTTTAAGTTGTACATGGGCTGGGAACACTCCCCTAAAATTTCAGTCTCTCTGCTTTCCTGCTTTTCGAGTTAGCGATTTCCCCACCAGGAACCTTCACGGGGCCGTACGTGAGAACCACACATACCTGGGTGTTAAATTTGAAAAATTTAAATTGTTCTTGAAACATCCCCTTAAAATTTCAGCTTTCCAGCTTTTTTGGTTCCCAAGTTAGTGATTATCCTCCCAAAATCTTCACGCGCTCGTACGAGGGGCCTAAACTTGCATGAGGGATGGCATCGCGGTCCGGGAGCGGCACTTGGTTGGGGAAGCCACTGACAAAATTTTGACGACGGAGCTCGCTTGGTTGCCGAGTTAAAATACACGGACGGACAGACAGACACACGTACACACACGACGGGGTTGCCACAATATGCGTTTCGACATTTAAATATATGAACTCAGGCTGGAAAGCACCGGGCGAACCCGTGCGATTATGCTTTTTTACATTGGCCTTGAAGTACTCAGGCCATTAACTGCATGAATGGTTGTTCTACACCTACCTTTTGCGGTCACTAGCATAAATCAACATAAATTACGGATAAAGTAAATGTACAATTTCTGTTTAACAGCCGTCCTTTAAAAGCAACCGAGCTATTTAATGAAAAATTTCTCTGCCAAAACTTTTAAGTACCTATACGTAACAACCACGCATACCTCAAGGCTTAATTTGAAATACTTAAATTGTACTTGGATAGGGATCATTCCCCCAGAACTTCAGCCTTCCAGTTTTTCTGGTTACAGATTTAGCATTTTTCCCACCAACACTTTCACATGCCCGTACAGGTATTCCACGTATCTGGGAAGCTGAATTTGAAATCTTTAAATTGCGCGTGGGCAGGAAACATCCCACTAAGATTACAGTTTTCCAACTTTTTTGGTTGTCGAGCTAACAATTCTCCCGCCAAATCTTTCACGTGCTCGTATATAAGAACCACACATACACCTCGGGGCTGGATTTGAAATATTTTAGTTGTAATTGGACAGGGGAAATTCCCCCAAAATTTCAGCTTTCTAGCTTTCCTGGTTTCCGAGCTAGCAATTTTCCTGCCAAAACTTTCATCCGCCCTTACGCGAGTACCACGCATACTTGGAGGCTAAATTTGAATTCCTTAACACACACGGGCACAGGGAATATTCCTGCAAAGTTTCTGCTCCTTCCCTCGTCTGGTTCCCGAGATCGTTTTCTCGCCAAAAAATCTGCATATTTTTTAAAGTGTCCTGTACGAGGCATCCTGGCGTCCGTTGGGGATGATATTAAAACGGGAAGGCCGCGCATGGTATGGGCACATACTTGCAAAGTTTCAGCCTTCTGGCTTTTCTGGTTCTCGAGTTGAAAGTGGGTGACAAAAAGTGCGAACACGCAGACACGCATACACAGACAGCCTCTTCCCAATATGCGTGTTTGCAATTTGCATATATGCAAAAACGCATAAAAACCCATAACCCAGACTGGGACGCACCAGGCTGTCCGGCGCGATCATGCGTTTTTGTACTAAACTCGCAGATCGCTATTAGTAGGAATGATCCCTAAGCTGTAGCCTAACACTTGGGTCATATTGGCGCGCTTTGATCCTTTCCAGCATGCAGGAGAAAGGGCGTCAGTTGGGACGAGGATGGTACATTATAAAGCCGCACGGACATCCAGGTACATGATTACCGGTTTTTTGCATGAAGTCCGGTCGTTTTTTCGGTA